ACTCCAACACTATATCCCCACCTGCTTTTAACATTTCTGTCATGATCCCATCAGTTCCAGCTGCTTTACCCCCTTTCATTCTACGTAATGCCTCACGTTCCTCCACCACACTTACATTCTGCTCTTCTTCACTCCTAAAAGATGGTATACCTCCCTGGCCAGAGCATGAAATTACCACCTCCCTTTCTTCCTCAACATTTAAAAGTTCCTCAAAATATTCTCGCCATCTACCTAATACCCCCCTCTCCCCATCTACTAACTCCCCTACTCTGTTTTTAACTGACAACTCCATACTTTCCCTAGGCTTTCTTAACTTGTTTAACTCACTCCAAAATTTTTTCTTATTTTCATTAAAATTTCTTGACAGTGCCTCTCCCACTCTTCCATCTGCTCTCCTTTTGCACTCTCTCACCACTCTCTTCACCTTTCTTTTACTCTCCATATACTCTGCTCTTCTTATAACACTTCTGCTTTGTAAAAACCTCTCGTAAGCTACCTTTTTCTCTTTTATCACACCCTTTACTTCATCATTCCACCAATCACTCCTCTTTCCTCCTGCCCCCACCCTCCTATAACCACAAACTTCTGCCCCACATTCTAATACTGCATTTTTAAAACTATTCCAACCCTCTTCAACCCCCCCACTACTCATCTTTGCACTAGCCCACCTTTCTGCCAATAGTCGCTTATATCTCGCCCGAACTTCCTCCTCCCTTAGTTTATACACTTTCACCTCCCTCTTACTTGTTGTTGCCACCTTCCTCTTTTCCCATCTACCTCTTACTCTAACTGTAGCTACAACTAAATAATGATCCGATATATCAGTTGCCCCTCTATAAACGTACATCCTGGAGCCTACCCATCAACCTTTTATCCACCAATACATAATCTAACAAACTACTTTCATTACGTCTACATCATACCTTGTATATTTATTTATCCTCTTTTTCATAAAATATGTATTACTTATTACCAAATCTCTTTCTACACATAGCTCAATTAAAGGCTCCCCATTTACATTTACCCCTGGCACCCCAAATTTACCTACTACTCCCTCCATAACATTTTTACCCACTTTAGCATTGAAATCCCCAACCACCATTACTCTCACACTTGATTCAAAACTCCCCACGCATTCACTCAACATTTCCCAGAATCTCTCTCTCTCCTCTACACTTCTCTCTTCTCCAGGTGCATACACGCTTACTATAACCCACTTTTCACATCCAATCTTTATTTTACTCCACATAATCCTTGAATTTATACATTTGTAGTCCCTCTTTTCCTGCCATAGCTTATCCTTCAACATTATTGCTACTCCTTCTTTAGCTCTAACTCTATTTGAAACCCCTGACCTAATCCCATTTATTCCTCTCCATTGAAACTCTCCCACCCCCTTCAGCTTTGTTTCACTTAAAGCCAGGACATCCAGTTTCTTCTCATTCATAACATCCACAATCATCTCTTTCTTATCATTTGCACAACATCCACGCACATTCAGACTTCCCACTTTGACAATTTTCTTCTTATTCTTTTTAGTAATCTTTACAGGAAAAGGGGTTACTAGCCCATTGTTCCCGGCATTTTAGTTGACTTTTACAACACGCATGGCTTACGGAGGAAAGATTCTTATTCCACTTCCCCATGGATATAAAAGGAAAAGTAATAAGACCAAGAACTATTAAGATAAAATCAAAGAAAACTCAGATGAGTGTGTATAAATAAACGTGTACATGTATGTGTAGTGTGACCTAAGTGTAAGTAGAAGTAGCAAGACGTACCTGTAATCTTGCATATTTATGAGACAGACAAAAGACACCAGCAATCCTACCATCATGTAAAACAATTACAGGCTTTCGTTTTACACTCACTTAGCAGGACGGTAGTACCTCCCTGGGTGGTTGCTGTCTACCAACCTACTACCTACACTAATGTCTGTCTATATTATCCACATGCATAGTTCTGAATGCACAGATTTCCTAAATAATGTTTACTTATCTTAATGCAAAGATCTCCCTTATAAACTAAGAGATGAAAACTCCCTTTTCCTAGCAGAGATCAAAATGGTCTTGATTTTTTATGTAAAAAATAAAATACAAAGGCTTCTTTCCATCATAAAAAATAATTTGTACAGCCAGTCAAAACTACTGCATCCAAGCCCAACTTAGTACAAATAAGCAATTTCATTTACTCATCTTGTTGACTTAGGAACAAGGCAAAGGTGCAAGTATAGTTTGCCTCCTCTTAAGTTTAAGAAATACAACTGTACAGCATTACAAAAAGAGACTCAACAGAGGTAAAGAGAAATCAAGACAGATAAGGAAACAGTGAAGGGCTAAAACCTGTGAATAAGGTTGAAATGGCATCAGGGAAACAGTAAAACTGTTAAAATACTTTAACCCTTAAACTGTCCAAACGTAGATCTACGTTTTTTCAACATCTGAAAGTATGTAAAAAAATTTAAGACTTTTTTTTTTTTTTTTTTTTTTTTTTTTTTTTTTTTACATTTGAAAACGTGTAAAAAAAACTTTGATCTACACTTTTTTTGTTATATTTGAAAATATGTAAAAAACATAGATCTACTTTTGGAGCACTACGCATGTGAATGTAGATCTGTTTGGACAGTTTAAGGGTTAAGCATGTCCATAATTTTGTTTTTGTTTCCCTCAGCATTTCTGAATAAAATCAAAACCATCAAATTACAAAAAACACATCAAAACACTGCAGCAGATTCAGAAATATTCAAAGCTTAGTAACAAAAAACATTTGAATGAAATACAACAAAGATGTAATAATGCTAAACGAGGAGACAAATGGCAGTATAGAATTAACACAAAGAATGCAGCATTATAAAAACAGTGCTAGGCAAGAGATGCAGGTTAATAAAATGTAAATTAAAAATGGTTCAAGACAACCTTTTGTGGCTCCAATGAGATATTACCATGCAGAAAATCTAGCAATAGTACCCATGGACAAGGCAAAATGTATAAGGAAAGATTAAGACTGCCACCTATGCACCAAATGAAATACAGTATATATATTTCTCACCTGATGAGCTGAACTTCATAATAGTCGTGTTTAAAAAATTGATGAAGTTCAAAGTGTGCCTGATCAAGATGCTTTATACAACAAAACTAATAAAGTACCTATTTTGGATGTACTTTATGAAAAACTGAGTAGTCATTGCTGTATTATAGCCCATAACCTAATAAATCATAAATACAAAATTCACTAGACTATTATCATTATTATTATTAGTAGTAGCAAATAACTGTAAAGGGCTTGATAATATTAATTAATGTACTGTATATACATATATTTTAAAGTTATATGCTTGGTAAAACCCCATACAGTAGAGCCCCAACTTACGATGTTCTGACCAACAAAGATTCACACTTACAAACTGGGCACTCTGGAACCAATCAATTTCTTACGAATGCTAGGTGAATTACATGCTATATATTTTTCTTCTTTTTTACAGAATTTGTATACCAGTGAATAAAAGTTAGATTTTTTATTTAAATTTGTAAAATGGTTTGCCTAGAATAGGATCTACTTTGGATGCAGAAGCAAACATGCCTGTTAGCATTCAGACAATTTTCAAAAAATTAGTTATTCACTTCTTTTTATTCTAAGTGCTTTCATATTGTGTGTATCATCATTTTATGCATGTGTGGAGGGCTCATGTTTGTTTGCTACAGATCAATCAAGAACTGTAAAACTAATTAATATCAAGAACTATACAACTAATGATAGCAATTTTGTTAAGACCTGAATTCGATGTACTGTATAATATTTTTCTTGGTTATTTTTCAACAAAATGCATTCACATTTTACGTATTATCATTTTATGCATGGTCAAGAACTGTAGAAATAATATTTACTGTAGCCTGCTGGCAGCTACTCAGCTGCACTGTCCAATACATGTCAATGACTGAGGTGCAGCAACATGGCTCACCTGCACCTCACCCTGCCTCCCACACTGCAGTCCAGCCCACAACAATCCTCCCTCACCACAAATGAGGAAAGGAATTGGCGATAAGGAGAGAGGAAAGTCATCCTGTTTCTGCCACCTGTATCATGTTCATCAAATACTATGGGGGAGAGGGTGGGGGAGTGTGGGAGGGAGGGAATGCAAGAGAGGGAGAAAGGTTAGGAGTGGAAAAGAGGGAGGAAAGGGAAGAGACAGGATGACTCTTCTGATTGCTGTACATTACGGCCTCTCCTCACTTAACGATGGAGTTCTGTTCCCGAGACCACGTTGTTTAACAAAATTCGTCACGAAGTGACGAACATACTACGCATAGTGGTAGTGAGTTTGTGTAAACTATCTTTGATATTGTTTTAATGTCACCTTTGCACCACTTATAACATTCCTGGCATATTTTTAAACGTTTATACAGTAGTGTGCTGTAAACTGAAATAAACAGAATAAAGGAAATCACTAATATACAGTACATTATTTAGGTATGAATACTGGTCAGAGAGCTCGTCATAAGTCCAAGGTGTTGGTAAACGAGTACGTCGCTAAGTAAGGAAAGGCTGTATTTCATTATTAAAAATAAACAAAATTACATACAGAATATTGTGGCTCAGGAATTTCCAATACAGTACATATTATTATTATATTTAGGAGGAAGCGTTAAAATCATAGGGGTCTTACAATGTCTGGAGAATTGGAGGCAATTAATTTTGATCCAAGGAAGAGGACAAGCCCAATTCCTCATATTAAGAGCCCCCCTCACTGGCATCAAGGAACTTCCCTCGAGAGGATCTCCAATTATAACATGGGTGACTATAGGAAAACACACTAAGCCCCGAACACCCAAGTAACAAACAGTTTTTTTGAGAATGCATTAATGTCGTAAGGTGGGGCCCTACTGTACTGCAGACAAAAATTAAGAACATATTTTCCTAAAAGAAATCTTATAAATATTTTTAAGAATGCTCTAGTTTGGTTTGTACGGTATCATACTCATGTAAGAATGCACTCTTGTTACCTGATCCAATGACATCATCACGCCAATCTAGAAAATAAAATTTTTTGCATCATTAGAGTTTTCCATTTTAATAATGACACTGCTATGTTTAGTTAGCAATTCAATAAGCAATTGTAATTAGGAAAAGATCAAAAGCTAATTACAGTATTTACAGTGTTTACAATGAGGTGATTTAAAAAAAAAAAGGCTATTCATAAACAATTAAGCATTAAAATGCAATGGCAAGCATACCATGTACAAGCAGAGGTACAGGAATTTTCTATATAATAACACTTCATTTAACAAATCTGTTTAATGACAAAGGATACATCAGGTAACAAACCCACATAACCTGCCCCTTGCCCATTAATAATGTCTTAGCAATATTCATCGGTCTGGTAAGAGTCTAGCAGGTCTGTGAACTGTCTCACCATTTCTCCTATTTCTCTCTTCTCTTTCTCCCTCCTACTGTTTACCTGGAGTTTACCTGGAGAGAGTTCTGGGGGTCAACGCCCCCGCGGCCCGGTCTGAGACCAGGCCTCCTGGTGGATCAGAGCCTGATCAACCAGGCTGTTGCTGCTGGCTGCACGCAAACCAACATACGAGCCACAGCCCGGCTGATCCGGAACTGACTTTAGGTGCTTGTCCAGTGCCAGCTTGAAGACTGCCAGGGGTCTGTTGGTAATCCCCCTTATGTGTGCTGGGAGGCAGTTGAACAGTCTCGGGCCCCTGACACTTATTGTATGGTCTCTTAACGTGCTAGTGACACCCCTGCTTTTCATTGGGGGGATGGTGCATCGTCTGCCAAGTCTTTTGCTTTCGTAGTGGGTGATTTTCGTGTGCAAGTTCGGTACTAGTCCCTCTAGGATTTTTCCAGGTGTATATAATCATGTATCTCTCCCTCCTGCGTTCCAGGGAATACAGGTTTAGGAACCTCAAGCGCTCCCAATAATTGAGGTGTTTTATCTCCGTTATGCGCGCCGTGAAAGTTCTCTGTACATTTTCTAGGTCGGCAATTTCACCTGCCTTGAAAGGTGCTGTTAGTGTGCAGCAATATTCCAGCCTAGATAGAACAAGTGACCTGAAGAGTGTCATCATGAGCTTGGCCTCCCTAGTTTTGAAGGTTCTCATTATCCATCCTGTCATTTTTCTAGCAGATGCGATTGATACAATGTTATGGTCCTTGAAGGTGAGATCCTCCGACATGATCACTCCCAGGTCTTTGACGTTGGTGTTTCGCTCTATTTTGTGGCCAGAATTTGTTTTGTACTCTGATGAAGATTTAATTTCCTCATGTTTACCATATCTGAGTAATTGAAATTTCTCATCGTTGAACTTCATATTGTTTTCTGCAGCCCAGTGAAAGATTTGGTTGATGTCTGCCTGGAGCTTTGCAGTGTCTGCAATGGAAGACACTGTCATGCAGATTCGGGTGTCATCTGCAAAGGAAGACACGGTGCTGTGGCTGACATCCTTGTCTATGTCGGATATAAGGATGAGGAACAAGATGGGAGCGAGTACTGTGCCTTGTGGAACAGAGCTTTTCACCGTAGCTGCCTCGGACTTTACTCTGTTGACGACTACTCTCTGTGTTCTGTTAGTGAGGAAATTATAGATCCATCGACCGACTTTTCCTGTTATTCCTTTAGCACGCATTTTGTGCGCTATTACGCCATGGTCACACTTGTCGAAGGCTTTTGCAAAGTCTGTATATATTACATCTGCATTCTTTTTGTCTTCTAGTGCATTTAGGACCTTGTCGTAGTGGTCCAATAGTTGAGACAGACAGGAGCGACCTGTTCTAAACCCATGTTGCCCTGGGTTGTGTAACTGATGGGTTTCTAGATGCGTGGTGATCTTGCTTCTTAGGACCCTTTCAAAGATTTTTATGATATGGGATGTTAGTGCTATTGGTCTGTAGTTCTTTGCTGTTGCTTTACTGCCCCCTTTGTGGAGTGGGGCTATGTCTGTTGTTTTTAGTAACTGTGGGACGACCCCCGTGTCCATGCTCCCTCTCCATAGGATGGAAAAGGCTCGTGATAGGGGCTTCTTGCAGTTCTTGATGAACACAGAGTTCCATGAGTCTGGCCCTGGGGCAGAGTGCATGGGCATGTCATTTATCGCCTGTTCGAAGTCATTTGGCGTCAGGATAACATCGGATAGGCTTGTGTTAATCAAATTTTGTGGCTCTCTCATAAAAAATTCATTTTGATCTTCGACTCTCAGTCTGGTTAGCGGCTTGCTAAAAACTGAGTCATATTGGGACTTGAGTAGCTCACTCATTTCCTTGTTGTCATCTGTGTAGGACCCATCTTGTTTAAGTAGGGGCCCAATACTGGACGTTGTTCTCGATTTTGATTTGGCATAGGAGAAGAAATACTTTGGGTTTCTTTCGATTTCATTTATGGCTTTTAGTTCTTCCCGCGATTCCTGACTCCTAAAGGATTCTTTTAGCTTAAGTTCGATGCTTGCTATTTCTCTGACCAGTGTCTCCCTACGCATTTCAGATATATTGACCTCTTTTAGCCGCTCTGTTATTCTTTTCCGTCGCCTGTAAAGGAGCGCCTGTCTCTTTCTGTTTTACATCTACTCCTCCTTTTTCTTAGAGGAATAAGCCTTGTGCATACATCGAGTGTTACCGAGTTAATCTGTTCTAGGCATAAGTTGGGGTCTGTGTTGCTTAGTATATCTTCCCAGCTTATATCGGTTAGGACTTGGTTTACTTGGTCCCACTTTATGTTTTTGTTATTGAAGTTGAATTTGGTGAATGCTCCCTCGTGACTAATCTCATTATGTCGGTCTGGGGCTCCGCGCATACATGACTGAACCTCAATTATGTTGTGATCTGAGTATATTGTTTTTGATATGGTGATATTTCTTATCAGATCATCATTGTTAGTGAAGATGAGGTCTAGTGTATTCTCCAGTCTAGTAGGCTCTATTATTTGCTGGTTTAAATTGAATTTTGTGCAGAGATTTAAAAGCTCGCGTGAGTGTGAGTTTACTGTGGTGCCATTCAGGGCCTAAGATGAAAACAACCCATGTACTCAAGATGAGATAGCCGATAATCTAAATCCTTCCTCTGCTTCTCACCAACACACTACACACCATACCTCGTGTCATCAAACTAACAAACTGACCATCCTTTGTGAATGTTCCTAGTGTATTCTTTGTGGGGGTTGGAGGAGGGGAAGAACATGGATTTTGTCAAGCTATGCTGTTCATTCCTTGTCTAGGTGCTCTTAGTATTTATGTGAAGTCCATAAATCACTATGGAAATCACTTGGAAAATAGAATTCATTCAATAAATTCATGGAGGCAGGTTTTGTGGAATTATAAGAAAAAATACCACAATCTAAATTACAGTACTGTACCAAATAACTAAAGTGAAACTTAATTCAGTGATTAATTAGCATCTTCAAAAATAATTAATTCCACAGTCTTACAAAAAAATGAAAAATACTAGCATTTAAAAAATAGCATTACACATTCACCTTTGATACTATGTTTTACAGAAAGCTTCGAATTTTTCAAGGTTTATAAAAACAAATAATTTAAACAGTAGTAATAATAAGATTCTAACAAAACAAATACAGAATGACTTATCCCACTGAGTGACTAAGGTTCACAGGCTCACAGTATTGTGCCTACAATGTATATGGTACCTCAAATCTTTTAAAGTTGAGGGTATAGTACCAATATCCTTCTTTAAATTTTTCATCATCAAACACATGCAATAAAAAATTCATACATACAGTAATGCTGAGGAGCCTTTATTTTCTCTTCATAAAAAAATAACAAGTGGTCAGTAATGCACATAATGCAAGCTGCAACTGGATAAACCAAATTTATTTATACACTATTTCCAATCTGCAAAAAAAGAAGAACTTGACAAACCATGCAATTTGGGAATATTTTACGCTTAGTTACTTCAAATTACCTTAACTCGTGATGTATGTTTAATGGGACATGAACCATCAGGGTTTGCTGGTAATGATATTTCCCATTTCCCATATTCCAGTTTTTTAAAAGGATGACTCAGTTTATTCCAGCCATCTGTAAATCACAAAACATTAAAACAAACTGTGCAAATTTGCCAAGGCAATGACAGCAAAATAAAGTATACACACCTTAAAGAACTTTAACCAGTCACTCAAATATTTGTCCAAACAATTCTTAAAGCTACCCAAGGTTTCATCTTCAACAATGATAACCCCTGTGCTTTTCTAACCTATTTCTAAAGGCACCTAAAGTTTTAACTGCTATGATCTTTATTGGCAGACTGTTCCATCCATCATAAAAGAGGTGGGCTGCAGCAGGCCTACTGGGATTAAGAGCAAGCGAGGTTTTAAAGTAACACATACTGTATATGCAATATATTTATACTTGAAATCTATTTATACTCTGATAATTAATTACTCGATGTACATGCAGGCCTCACTTTACAGGGCTTTGCTTTACAGCATTTCACTAATGAAGCAGTTTTCAATTATACCCATTCCTAATTTATTCAGACTTAATAGAGCCTCTCCTCACTTAAAGATGGAGTTTTGTTCCCAAGACCATGTCAGTAGACAAAATCGTCGCTAAGCAAGGAGTATACTATAAAGGTAGTGGGTTTATGCGAGTCTGGCAATTGTGGTGTAGTGGTCACCACTCGCCTTTCCACCCTTGTCATTTCCATTCTAGAGCTGGTTGAGCATGGTTGTCCATTCTGTCTCCAGGGTGTCTTAGTCTTTGACTAACCTGTTGTACACATACATTTCCAACTGTATATAGTATACACAGTAATTGTAAATAATTACCATTGCTCTTGGTGAAGGAAAATATATTTCAAAGTCATTCAGCTGTGTTTTTTCTGCTCATTGCTCCCCTTTACACCCAGGATAACGGACCTTATTGTGCCTGGGTTGTAATAAGGGGGCCTGTCCGGGGTTGGAGCAGTACTGTTGCAAACGGGATGAGGGGTTGCAGCCTGTGGCCTTATTCTCAGCCAAGTTTCAGCCGCACCAGAGGACTTACTCTACCGTTGAAAAAGAAACCCTCATGCTGGTACTAGCCTTGGAGCACTTCGATGTTTACATGGGCCAGACTTAACAGGTGGTCACTGTTTAGTGACCACAACCTTCTGGTGTATCTCCAAGCCATGAAGAACCACAATACGAGGCTCATGAGGTGGAGTCTACAGCTGCAGCCCTATTCTCTCAGAATAATACACATAGCCAGCAAAGAAAATAAGCTGGCTGACTCATTGTCACAAGTAGATTTTACATGTAGTATTAGGTTACGATGTGTTAGGGACCTGTGGTAACCGGTTTCAAGCTCTTTTTTTCCTCTTATATATTATGAGTATTTATTGTTGTGGGTTTTTTTTTAGTGAGGGGATGCCCTGCTTCCGTCCGCAGGTATCTTGGACCTACTTTAGCCATACTGTCTGCTGTCTCACTCTGAGTTTGGAGTTTGGCTTTATGTCATGAGTACAGCTGAGCTCTACCTAAGAGTTGGATGGTTGAGAAGAAAGGCAGTCCCATGATATAGTGTCATGGTGGCACAGTTACCAATGGGAGATGGGAGCCCATTCCTGAGCCCTCTCGGGGTGGGGGTGTGGCATGCAAAGAGTACGTAACCTTTATTCAGCGCATGTACACACCCTCACTGAAAAGCTATCTCCCCAACCAGCAAACCAGTACTAAGGGTCAAATGATGGGGCACCATCGTTCGATCAGTACCAAGGTTCAGCCAATGAGAAGGTGGGTCTGGCAATTGTGGAAGTGTAGAGGTCACCACTCACCTTTCCACCCTTGTCATTTCCATTCTAGAGCTGGTTGAGCACGGTTGTCCATTCTGTCTCCAGGCTGTCTTTGCCTTTGACTAAACGTGTTGTACACATACATTTCCAACTGTATATAGTATACATAACTGTAAATAATTACCACTACTCTTGGTGAAGGAAAATATATTTCAAAGTCATTCAGCTGTGTTTGTTCTGCTCCTTGCTCCCCTTTACACCCAGGATAACAGGCCTTATTGTGCCTGGGTTGCAATAATCTTTGATATTGTTTTAATGTCACCTTTGCATCATTCATAAAATTTTTAGTATATTTTTAAATATTTATACAGTAGTGTACTGTATACTGTAATAAACAGAATAGAGGAAATCGGCTCTAATATGTACGTACATTATTTGGGTATGCATACTGGTCAGAGAGCCCATCATAAGTCCAAGTCATTGATAAACAAGTACGTCGCTAAATGAGGAGGCTGTACAATAAATATATTCACCACTCACTATAAGCTAAGGACAAAAAACATTTTAAGGTAAGTAATATGTGTACTGTATATGCATTTTTCAGGCCTAAGGACAAAAAACATTTTAAGGTAAGTAATATGTGTACTGTACATGCATTTTTCAGGCCTAACTCTATTGCACACTTAATACACGATAGTGTAAACATATTATCAGTCTTTTTTGCTTTTAAAGTGAAAAAAGGGTTTCGTTTACAGCTTTTTTTGCTTTACGCGTAGCCGGGAATTGCCTTGCTGCATAGCGGGCCTTTTGTATAAAAAAATAACACTGTTGCAATAAAAATTACTTTTCCCATTAAACAATTTTTTTATACAATAAAAAAATGGACCCATGGGGCCCCTTCACCCCGGGGACAAACAAAACCACTTTTTGTCTTGTTAAAAATCACTGTTCGGGATGGGGGCGTGCTTATTGGAAAAACCCATTTTTTCATCTGAAAGTGGAAACTAAAACCTTCAATTTTTGCTTTTTTAAAATTTATAAAGGATTAATTTTGCACTTTTATTTTCTCCAAATGTTATTACTATTTTATTTTATTTTTTTTAAGAAAAAGAAGCTCTAAGCCCAAGGGCTAGCACATCAAATGAAATATCAACCTACAGAAAAATAAGGCACTCCTTTTATTCCCTAGGAAAATCACAGAAAAACTTCCATTTTATTATAATAAAGGGGGAAGCACAAAAACCCATAGGATTATACAGTGTTTGGGAGGGGGATGGAAGGTATTCAGGTTTAATCGGGAATGGAGACAGATCATTTCCCCTAGATCAAGACCCCCTTCACCAGATAAGGGAACCCTTCCTTGGGGGCAGAAAATTAAAACAAGTCTTAAATATTAATAAAAACTCCTACAACTGTAAATTACAAAATTAAACTTTAAGGTGCAAAAAATGCAGCTATTATCAAGATTTAGTCAAATTAATAACCCAAAACAAGCCCTTTCTAAAAACTCCTTTTAGGAAGAGTCCCTTTTGCCTGGGTGCCACTCAACAAAGTAAATGTTGTTGGGGTTTTTATGAGGGCCCAAAAGTTCGTAACTCTGGAAAATTTCTCCATTCTCCCTTTGCTTGGTCAAATTTTATCCCCCAGTTTTTTGAAGCAACCCTAATTTATGACAAACAAGCAAGTGTACTAAATATTATCTGGCTGTGTACATAAAAAATTTTTCTGACTGTATACATAAATTGATATGTAGTATAATAAATTGATACTGTACTTATACTATTAACTGTACTGTATAATATACGTTTTGCTTATATACTGAACTGGAAAATCGCTTTTTGGGTTTTTTATGAACTAGCAAGTGAAAAAAAAGGCTGCAATTCGCTTTTGGTTATACTGGCTTTATGGAGCGGTTTTGGGAACCTGATTGTGTACGCGGGATGCCTGTATATAAAAAAGCCTCATTCATGTGAAGCCAGTTACCTAGATTTTTTTTATTGTTATATAAAAAAAGGGCATCAATTATTTTTTTATAAAAAAAAAAGCGCTGCCACAAGGTATACAGCAAAAAAAAAAAAAAAAGGGCATCTGAATATAGATATTTAAACTTTTCATTATTAAATTTTTAAATTTTTCATGTGAAGTGCAAAAAACCCACACAAGTCATTAAAAGCTAAGGGTGATGGGGGCAGATCTCCTTTCAGTAGTGCCAGATGACAGAATACTCTAGCAGCCAGGCTGCCATAAAAAAAATTAAGGTTCGTACTATTTTTTAAAACAACTGTTTTTACTTGTATTGCTACTGACTTTCATGTGAAAGGTTAATCTGAATTTAAAAGGGGTACATAATTTTAAGGGGTAACATTATAGTGATAATATACTGTAAAAAAAATTTTTTATCTTTAATATTTTTAGTTAAGGGTTTAAGATTTTTTGTTTTAATAGATTATAGTTAATAGAGATTTATATGCTAGAACTACTATTGAACAGCGAGTGAGGAAAAAAATAAAAAAAAATTTATTCCAAGATTTTCCCTTTGTAACCCGACAGGCAACATCTAGCAAGCTGTACCAGGAAACACCCTAGAAGCTGCACCCTGGAACACACCCTGGGGAAGCTGTCACCATGGCAAAAACCCTGAGAAGGTGTACCTGGAAAAACCCCCCTGGGAAAGCTGTCACCATGGGAAAATCCTAGCAAGCTGTCACCATGGCAACACCCTAGAAAGCTGTCACCATGGCAACACCCTAGAAAGCACTCACCATGGCAACACACCCTGGGAAGCTGTCACCATGGCAACACACCCTGGGAAGCTGTCACCATGGCAACACACCCTGGGAAGCTGTCACCATGGCAACACACCCTGGGAAGCTGTCACCATGGCAACACACCCTGGGAAGCTGTCACCATGGCAACACACCCTGGGAAGCTGTCACCATGGCAACACACCCTGGGAAGCTGTCACCATGGCAAACACCCTGGGAAGCTGTCACCATGGCAACACACCCTGGAAAGCTGTCACCATGGCAACACCCTGGGAAGCTGTCACCATAGCAACACACCCTGGGAAGCTGTCACCATGGCAACACACCCTGGGAAGCTGTCACCATGGCAACACACCCTGGGAAGCTGTCACCATGGCAACACACCCTGGGAAGCTGTCACCATGGCAACACCCTAGGAAGCTGTCACCATGGCAACACCCTAGGAAGCTGTCACCATGGCAGCACACCCTAGGAAGCTGTCACCATGGCAACACACCCTAGGAAGCTGTCACCATGGCAACACACCCTAGGAAGCTGTCACCATGGCAACACACCCTAGGAAGCTGTCACCATGGCAACACACCCTAGGAAGCTGTCACCATGGCAACACACCCTGGGAAGCTGTCACCATGGCAACACACCCTGGAAGCTGTCACCATGGCAACACACCCTAGGAAGCTGTCACCATGGCAACACACCCTAGGAAGCTGTCACCATGGCAACACCCTAGGAAGCTGTCACCATGGCAGCACACCCTAGGAAGCTGTCACCATGGCAACACACCCTAGGAAGCTGTCACCATGGCAACACACCCTAGGAAGCTGTCACCATGGCAACACACCCTAGGAAGCTGTCACCATGGCAACACACCCTAGGAAGCTGTCACCATGGCAACACACCCTGGGAAGCTGTCACCATGGCAACACCCTGGGAAGCTGTCACCATGGCAACATCTACCACTGCCTTAATCTTGCAAAAGTCGTGAGGGTTTGGCTCACCTTCGTCTGATCTCCTTCTCGTACTTGGTGAGGTAAGGGTCCCTGGTGAGCAGGTCACTCAGCCTGGGCACCTCCACCTTCATGGGCTCCGCGACCTCCATCATCGCCTCCCTCAAGACTTCTTTGAGGCTGATGAACTACTTGAGTTAATTAACCGTGATCAAATGAATCTCAAGAAACCGGGGGTACAAGGCTGACAAACCGCCCCGGTTAACCGTGAAAACTGGATCACAGGAAACTGGGGGGAGGTTATAATGTTGATAAACCACCTCGGTTAACCGTCATCAGCTGGATGTTAGAGGCTGGGGTTGTGGCTAGACCAAACCACTGGTTCCTGTTGTTGTTTCTGCCTGTCACCTGCTGTTTCCCTCTCTGGGGTCTGCCCACACACGAGTGTTACACACCGGTAGCAGTCCTAGAGCTGTAACGTAGTCCCATGAGGTGTAAAATCTGGAAGAATTAATGAGCAACAATCTGCGTCTACCACAGCCTGAGTTTGCTGCCGGCGGCACTCGATGCAAATAAGTCACAGTGTTTGACTTTACTGGATGAGTCTTGGTTAATTTACATATAATTTATTCCGTAAGACAACTGTAAAAATTCTACATTTGTGTAATGACCCTAAATAAAAGTTATCTATTTATTTACTAATGTATTTATTTACTCTACTCCTGCCAGACACACGATACCACCTTTCCAGACGCATGATCATGTCCTCCTCCCCTGCAGGTTGTAATTTATATTCCAGCCTCTGGTGTCTCATACTGTGACTTGAATTATAATAGAAAGACAGGTACAGTTATTCTATAATATGATGATGGTATGCTATGTGTTACTAGTGAAGGTAGAGTACGAAGTCACGTGGTGGCTGCCAGCACCAGCACATCACATGCACAAGGGCGGGCAACTTGCTGCATTTCTGTAGTAACTAAATATCTAAAATTAGACTGCTCTTGCGCCTTCTATTGCAAACAAAGTTATTTTTAAAAGCTTCATTGTGACCGAAAGATACCACGTGAAGCGAAGGGACAGAGGAAGAGAAGAGAACTTAGAGACATTACAAGTCAATTTTACCAGTAATAAGTACATAATTTAGAATATAAAATTCTGTGGTTAATGGCGACATCACAGCTGTTTAGCGAAGACATTCAGTTAATGACGACGAACTTCCCAGCTGATATTATTAATAGAGACCTTCGCTTGATGTCTTAAGTCCGTCACGTTGATATGACCTTCATGGTTCAAGGTCGGGGAAGGTCGCTAGCCAGCCAGCCTGACTAGTGACCTTCGAGAACCGTTACGTGATGTTGGTGAAGGGCTCTTAATCCGAGGAATTTAAGGCAGCTTCTTGAATTGTACGACCCCTACGGGTTTACCGTTTCCCCGTAAATATAGCAGTACTAAATATTGGCCAACGCTCCAAAATATTTAAAGCCGCTTAACAATCTTTTCACTATTATTTATTCATCACGACTTGAACCACAAAACCAGAGAGAGAGAGACTACATAAAAAAAATATATATATATATATATATATATATATATATAATATATATATATATATATTATATATATATTGGTTTAATCCTAATTTTTCAAGGATTAAAGTAGTCTTGTCAGGTGGTGAAAAAGACTACCTACAGTCGATAGGTATTAAACCTTATTAACAAGCTAGTCAAAAAAAAAAAAAAACACGAGATATTTATTTTCACAAACTACAGTAAACAATTAACAGGGAAATTAGTAACATTTTTTTTTTTATTAACACACTGGCCGATTCCCACCAAGGCAGGGTGGCCCGAAAAAGAAAAACTTTCACCATCATTCACTCCATCACTGTCTTGCCAGAAGGGTGCTTTACACTACAGTTTTTAAACTGCAACATTAACACCCCTCCTTCAGAGTGCAGGCACTGTACTTCCCATCTCCAGGACTCAACTCCAGCCTGCCGGTTTCCCTGAATCCCTTCATAAATGTTACTTTGCTCACACTCCAACAGCACGTCAAGTATTAAAAACCATTTGTCTCCATTCATTCCTATCAAAGACGCTCACGCATGCCCGCTGGAAGTCCAAGCCCCTCGCACATAAAACCTCCTTTACCCCCTCCCTCCAACCTTTCCTAGGCCGACCCCTACCCCGCCTTCCTTCCACTACAGACTAATACACTCTTGAAGTCATTATGTTTCGCTCCATTCTCTCTACATGTCCGAACCACCTCAAGAACCCTTCCTCAACCCTCTGGACAACAGTTTTGGTAATCCCGCACCTCCTCCTAACTTCCAAACTACAAATTCTCTGCATTATATTCACACCACACATTGCCCTCAGACATGACATCTCCACTGCCTCCAGCCTTCTCCTCGCTGCAACATTCATCACCCATGCTTCACACCCATATAAGAGCGTTAGTAAAACTATACTCTCATACATTCCCCTCTTTGCCTCCAAGAACAAAGTTCTTTGTCTCCACACACTCCTAAGTGCACCACTCACCCTTTTCCCCTCATCAATTCTATGATTCACCTCATCTTTCATAGACCCATCCGCTGACACGTCCACTCCCAAATATCTGAATACATTCACCTCCTCCATACTCTCTCCCTCCAATCTGATATCCAATCTTTCATCACCTAATCTTTTTGTTATCCTCATAACCTTACTCTTTCCTGTATTCACTTTTAATTTTCTTCTTTTGCATACCCTACCAAATTCATCCACCAATCTCTGCAACTTCTCTTCAGAATCTCTCAAGAGCACAGTGTCATCAGCAAAGAGCAACTGTGACAACTCCCACTTTATGTGTGATTCTTTATCTTTTAACTCCACGCCTCTTGCCAAGACCCTCGCATTTACTTTCTTACAACCTCATCTATAAATATATTAAACAACCACAGTGACATCACACATCCTTGTCTAAGGCCTACTTTTACTGGGAAATAATCTCCCTCTTTCCTACATACTCTAACTTGAGCCTCACTATCCTCGTAAAAACTCTTCACTGGTTTCAGTAACCTACCTCCTACACCATACACCTGCAACATTTGCCACATTGCCCCCCTATCCACCCTGTCATACGCCTTTTCCAAATCCATAAATGCCACAAAAACCTCTTTAGCCTTATCTAAATACTGTTCACTTATATGTTTCACTGTGAACACCTGGTCCACACACCCCCTACCTTTCCTAAAGCCTCCTTGTTCATCTGCTATCCTATTCTCCGTCTTACTCTTAATTCTTTCAGTAATAACTCTACCATACACTTTACCAGGTATACTCAACAGACTTATCCCCCTATAATTTTTGCACTCTCTTTTGTCCCCTTTGCCTTTATACAAAGGAACTATGCATGCTCTCTGCCAATCCCTAGGTACCTTACCCTCTTCCATACATTTATTAAATAATTGTATCTACCACTCCAAAACTATATCCCCACCTGCTTTTAACATTTCTATCTTTATCCCATCAATCCCGGCTGCCTTACCCCCTTTCATTTTACCTACTGCCTCACGAACTTCCCCCACACTCACAACTGGCTCTTCCTCACTCCTACATGTCTGTACACTAAATACTAAGTTCCTGGTTATGCGAAGCATTTATTTCTTGATATTTACAGAATGCTTCTGAGAATATTCTCCTCCAGGGAGGGTCCTTGATGCTGGTGAGGGGCTCTTGATCTAGGGAATTGGATCTGGGCTCTAAAATCCTGAATTGAGCCTGAATGCCTCCCACCCACAGGGGCTGTACAATCCCTACGGGTTTATTAAACTCAAAATATTGTATGCATAAATTGCTAAGTACACTTGAAAAAAAGCCTTTCTCGATAATAACTAAACAACTCCATAATCACGCCAAATTTCTGTACCCAAAATTTGTCAATGAATCAAATTTTACAAATTTTGTGATTTAATTAGCGTTTAAGGCAAGTTAATATATTGAAAGGTCTTTCACGAATCACTGATATGATTAAATGACGCATAATAGACAGTAAATTTTTGATGACTGACAAACTTTATATATTCACCCAGATGACTAATTTTCATTTCATTTACATAAATGCCAATATTCCCTCCATTTTTTTTTTATATGAAACGTTCACAAAAAAAAAAACGATCACCAGAATAAGAGTATTTTACAATAACATGCGCTTTTATATACCATTTAGGTTTTGCTACGGAAATATCATACTGACTATTGTAATCACAGAATATCATTTTTTTCAAGAGTGTTTATTAATAGCATCGTACGTACAATTTTAATTGTGTTTTGTGACATTAGGTTAGGTAATAATCAAGAATTTTATCATATAAAGTATTTATTTCTTGCACATGAATTACAACAACAATTTAAAATTTCACATCACGGGAGTATTATGCACTTGTTCTCCATACATGAAGTCTGCCAGGCAACCCTGCAGCTAGCCAGGCGACCCTCCAGCTAGCCAGGCGACCCTCCAGCTAGCCAGGCAACCCTCCAGCTAGCCAGGCAACCCTCCAGCTAGCCAGGCAACCCTCCAGCTAGCCAGACAACCCTCCAGCTAGCCAGGCAACCATCCAGCTAGGCAAGCGACCCTCCAGCTAGCCAGGCAACCATCCAGCTAGCCAGGCGACCCTCCAGCTAGCCAGGCAACCATCCAGCTAGCCAGGCGACCCTCCAGCTAGCCAGGCAACCATCCAGCTAGCCAGGCAACCATCCAGCTAGCCAGGCAACCATCCAACTAGCCAGGCAACCCTCCAGCTAGCCAGGCAACCATCTAGCTAGCCAGGCAACCATCCAGCTAGCCAGGCAACCATCCAGCTAGCCAGGCAACCATCCAGCTAGCCAGGCAACCATCCAGCTAGCCAGGCAACCCTCCAGCTAGTCAGGCAACCCTCCAGCTAGCCAGGCAACCATCCAGCTAGCCAGGCAACCCTCCAGCTAGCCAGACAACCCTCCAGCTAGCCAGGCAACCCTCCAGCTAGCCAGGCAACCCTCCAGCTAGCCAGGCAACCATCCAGCTAGCCAGGCAACCATCCAGCTAGCCAGGCAACCATCCAGCTAGCCAGGCAACCCTCCAGCTAGCCAGGCAACCATCCAGCTAGCCAGGCAACCATCCAGCTAGCCAAGCAACCATCCAGCTAGCCAGGTAACCATTCAGCTAGCCAGGCAACCCTCCAGCTAGCCAGGCAACCATCTAGCTAGCCAGGCAACCATCCAGCTAGCCAGGCAACCATCCAGCTAGCCAGGTAACCATCCAGCTAGGCAGGCAACCATCCAGCTAGCCAGGCAACTATCTAGCTAGCCAGGCAACCATCCAGCTAGCCAGGCAACCCTCCAGCTAGCCAGGCAACCATCCAGCTAGCCAGGCAACTCTCCAGCTAGCCAAACAGCCATCCAGCTAGCCAGGCAACCATCCAGGTAGCCAAACAACCATCCAGCTAGCCAAACAACCATCCAGCTAGCCAAAAAACATCCAGCTAACCAAACAACCATCCAAGTAGCCAAGCAACCATCCAGCTAACCAAACAGCCATCCAGCTAGCCAAACAACTATCCAGCTAGCCAAACAACCATCCAGCTAGCTAAACAACCATCCAGCTAGCCAAACAACCATCCAGCTAACCAAACAACCATCCAGCTAGCCAAACAACCATCCAGCTAGCCAAACAACCATCCAGCTAACCAAACAACCATCCAGCTAGCCAAACAACCATCCAGCTTAGCCTAAACAACCATCCAGCTACCAAACAACCATCCAGCTAGCTAAACAACCATCCAGCTAGCCAAACAACCATCCAGCTAGCTAAACAACCATCCAGCTAGCCAAACAACCATCCAGCTAACCAAACAACCATCCAGCTAGCCAAACAACCTTCCAGCTACCCAGACAACCATCCAGCTAGTCAAACAACCATCCAGCTAGCCAAACAACCACCAGCTAGCCAAACAACCATTCATCTAGCCAAACAACCATCCAGACGCCAATCATCCAGCTAGCCAAACAACCATCCAGCTAGCCAAACAACCATCCAGCTAGCTCAACTACCATCCAGACAATCATCCAGCTAGGCAAACAACCATCCAGCTAGCCAACCAACCATCCAGCTAGCTAAACAACCATCCACCTAGCCAAACAACCATCCAGCTAGCCAAACAACCATCCAGCTAGCCAAACAACCACCCAGCTAGCCGAACAATCATCCAGCTAGCCAAGCATTCATCTAGCCAAGCAACCATCCTGGTAGCCAAACAATCATCCAGCTAGCCAAACAACCATCCAGGTAGCCAAACAACCATCCAGCCAGCCATTCAGCCATATAGTCATACTGTCTGTCAACCAGTCTTACAGTCAACCGTTTAGTCATACAGTTCATCCACCTTTCCAAGAATCCCACCGATCATCTACAAAGTCATCCAGCTAATACTTGTAATTTTAATGGTTCTCCGGGGCTGAAGCTAGCCTATTAATTTAACACTGTGATCGCTATGCAGTGTTATCACTAAACAAACTAATAAAACAAAACATAAAATAAATATTTACATAATATTTTTTTATATTACCGCCGAGTCATAATTTGACAATAGCTACGGAAGCGTTATCATCTGTTACTTAATTTGCACTCATTATTCAAGCCATTTTTATTCAGTAAAAATTGTTTTGAGTGTTCACTACGAGATGTGTGCCTGTTCACTCAAGAGGTGTATCTGTTCACTGCAAATTGTGTCTGTTCACTGCAAGTTGTGTGTCTGTTCACTGTGGATTTTGCTGAGGCAACGTCACTAAGTACTCACAAATCAGTTTCTATAAGAATTTTATTTCGTGGGGAGACTTTGTAAAGTTCAGTGTCGCCTCCTGTCTCCAGCGTTTTCATCTTTCCCGTCTCAGTTCCCAGTCTTCTTAGCTGCTTCTCTTTTAATTTTTCTACTTGCATCTTGAGTATATCCATAATTTCTCTCATCCACTTCTTCTTTATGTTTTTGGTGCGTGTTCGGAAATGGTATGTAAGAGTTTTAGTGGCCACTGTTCGAACCTCGAGTTGGAAGGAGTAATCGTCTGCGGCTGGTCCCAGACCCACTGTGTCCATTCGAATGGCTTCAACGTAGTGATAGGTGGGAGGATGTGGCTCCAGTAGGAGAATCATGGTACTCAGGAGGACAACGTGAAACTCCTGTTTGTTCATGTGACCGGTCCATCGAACCTTTGCGTTCCCCTCTAACAGAACAGGACCACACTCGTCAAGATCGAAGGGCGCCCCCTCTATGGTCTCCGTTAGAAGAATGGTGTTGGCTATGCCTACACATTCTCTTAACACGGCTAACGCTGCGGTTACGGCAGGATGTTCCGGTTCTCCTGAAATGTTGAGTCTCGAGAGATACATCATATACAGCTCGAACTGGCGCACCGGGTGCACGTAGCGACAGTTCATATCTTCCATCGCTACTTCTAAGCGAGAGCGATCTGCAAGGTAATTCGAGTATAGCTCTTTCAGCTTTTCAGAACAATCAATAAAGCACTGAGCGACTTCTTCCGTTGTCCCGGAGCTTACAGCCTTTTCTAGTAGAGGACGAAAGATATTAGAGTGAAAATCGTAAATGTGACGCAAGTGAGTCATCAAGAACTGTGGGGGTCTCAAGTACTCATCTTGCAAGAAATAACCAAGTTGCTCATTTACACCTGATATATATTTTTCTTCTTCTTCTAATAAAGTGATTAGTACAACGTGGTGGTTTTCTTTCGTACCGTTCGGAAGAGACTTCCCTTTATAAAGGTCTTCTAATTGCTGAAATGCCGTCCAGACAGTCAAGGGAGGCAAATGGCTACTCCACCTGGCTGATGTGCTCTCACCGTCTGACGAGTAACCACTCGGCTGCCGTACCACTGGTCGAGCCTTGCCAGACGAACTAGAGTTCTTCTTAATAGCTGCACGACGACCAGTCCATGACACGTTGGTCTCGCTTTTTCCTGTGCGTGAGCTGTCGTCGTCGAGAACATCTGAGTCGCTATGACTTGCCTGCGAGACTCCCCAGTTCGACTTTTCCATAGACGGCCCGCGACGTACCTTACTACGCATACCACTCTGTCTCGAATCTGACTCACATTCGCTATAACTATTCCTCTGGGAAGAAGACTGAGGTTTGTTTTTAAGGATTCCTTTCAAGTCGTTAATCCATTGTTGCTGCATGTTAATGTTTTTGGCTTTGAATGTGTAATGGACAACTTGTCCTCTTGGGCCGTTTCTGACATCGAGGTTGAATAAGATTCCTCGTTCTTGCTTCCCCAAACCAACTTGGTCCATTCGGAAACTCGTAATATATCGGTAGTACCTGCCTTCGGATATGGTGAGCAAGATAAGTGTCTTCAGCATAAGAACGTGGTAGACCCGACGAGGCAGGTCTCCCCCTCGTCGCAGTCCAAGGTCACTATGACGAATCAAGTTTCCGAAGTTGGTCAAGTCGAAAGGTGATCCGGTAACGGCGCCGAGAAAGAGCTTCGAGTCAGCCTTCTTCAAGGGAACTTTGAGGACGTCGATAGCTTTCTGAAGTGCCGTCTTTTCTTCGTTGATACAACACTTTTTGTGAAGGGTCTCAAGGGTGAGGACGTAGTAGTGGAGACGCATTCTGGGCTTCCTCAGTTTCTCTGGCAACTCTGGCATATGGGTTAGAAAGTAATCCTTGTGATTATTTAGAATACGATCTACAGTAGGGATATTTTCCATAAAATAGACATAATTCTCATATTCTCTCTGATGATGCACAATCGCTTCACTTAGCATCTGCAGGTTACTGTTACTCTTCTCAAACTCTGCATGTAGCTCCGTGTGTAGCTGAATTAACGCCTTCACTTGCACGAACAGAAGAATTAAGTTCTCACGAATAAACTGAGGAGTCTCAGCGTCTGCTAAACGCTCCCTGTCATCTTCTAGACTCTGAATGGATTTTACGAAGTCCTCGTCAGTTTCTATAAAGAACCTTAGTTCAGCCTCTATAATGGAGGCGTTAGATTCCAAAGAAGAGTCGCTGGATCTTGATACCGTATCGGCCGGTGGGTCATCATAGAGGCGCTCCTGCACGTTGGCATCGAAGCCCATGTCTTCATAGTACGTCTGCGCGGACTTGCTATCGGTATCGTCGCTAGAGTCCTCCTCGTCGTCTGAGTCAAGCATGGACTCAACACTGGGCTGTAGAGTCTCAGAAAGGTTTGCGCCGGAGACGGACATGTCTTCTGAGCAAGGATTGGTGTTCGCAGTGGCGGCGGCGGCGGCGGTGATGCTAGTTGCTGCGGCTGTGGTGGCGATGGCTACGTTGAGGTTAGTGGTGCCGGCTAGCGAGGCCAGCATGGCTGTAAATTTTTTGCCCATGCCACGGCCCCATGAGGCTTTGGGCTCCTTGCTAGGTGGTATCTGAAGCCCGTCACTGCAATACAACGTAACTAAGTCATATTTTCTGCATACTCTTACTGATATCATAATACAAGTGTAATAAGCACTAACCAGTGACACAAAAGAATGTACACGGAGACAACTAAACACGCGATAGGTATATTTCCAACTTACATTGAATTATTATTATTATTATTATTATTATTATTATAAGTATATTCCTGGGAAACATTAAACTCGTAGGGGTCATATCCCTTGAATGGGGTGCCTCATTCAAAGAATTTGAGCTATCCTCAAACTCCTCATCCTTTACCAATCATCTCTTTACTGGACTGAGGAAACCACTTGTTGGCGAAACGTTTCCACAACAAAGATTCCCAAATGTTGCAAAAAGTGTCTAATTCTTCAAGTAGTCGGTTTTGTAAACCATTTACATCATATTACATTACCTGTTTTGCTGGGTGAGAGGCGACAGTTTGCTTGGCACTGCAGTAGAGAACAAGGCCAAGATCTGTTCCACCTCACTCCCTGTTTTCATCTGTAGCACGACAGCGGCGCGGCCGAAGCTGTCACTTCTGCTGATGTACACTACCCGTAAGGGGCTTCCCTCTACAGGCGTGGCGATGATCACATCGCTAGTACGGTGCTTCAAAACTACTTCAGAGCCCTGGAGAATCTGACATTGTTCACCAATGACCTTCACCACAACCTCCCGGAGAGCGTAGAAGTTGTCTACCTCTCCGATGAATTTTTGACGTCGTATAAGGAGCTCCTGCTTGTCTTCCTCGTTGGTATGGCCGCTGTGTAGGACAGCCCAGTGGGAGACATAGGCGATCTCGGTGCGGACCTCCTGAGGAAGGCGTCGTAAAGGCAGTTTCACCTCAGCCACCCCCAGCAACACACACGTCACGCTGCCCATACCTGAAATTGTCATGCCTTACTTGTAAGCCATATTTATTATATGTAACGTACTCATGCAGACACGCATATGCGCGTATGCACGTGTTGCAAACATTGAAATTAAAAAATGCAATGAACAACGTATTGAAGACGAGACACCACGAGCATAACTCTGCTCCTGTAGCTACAAATATGTAATTATTAAAAGGTAATTACACACACAGTACTAAATATTGCCTGAGGCGTTTGGCAAATCTAAGATTAGCTTTCAAGAATCTCAAGAAAGATTTATTGACAGCCCTATATGAGACCAAGCTTGGAGTAAGCAACACCACTGTGGAACACGCACCTCATCAAGTATACCAGAAATTTTGAAAAAAGTTATAAAGAGAAACACAAGAAGATAAATCTGATGACACTGAAGAACAGAAAGACCAGGGGAGAGTCTATCTACCTGGAGTCTACTTGGAGGGTTTTACGGGGGTCAACGCCCCCGTGGCTCATTCGTTGACCAGGTCGTGCAAAATACTGTGGATAGGGACAGGCTGTTCATGTTTCGGAAAACAGGTACACAACGGTGTAGATGGAAGTTAGGAAAACACAGGTGGGTCATAGGAATAAAAGAAAGTTTTCTTCAGCTTCAGACCATTCAGGAAATGGAAGGACCAGGACAGGGAAGTGATAAAGATAGGATATGTACAAAGCGCTTACACTAGGTATGATAGGGCTCACTAAGCCACGAAAGAGTAAACTCAGTAATGCAGAAGACCAGGAGCTCAGACTAGATCTCTGCAATCGCAAATAGGTGAGGTGAATACACATATTCTCTCTCCGTCTTTTTCATTATCAGGTTACGTGCAGTTTGCTTAGAGGTTCACTCCTACCGATAACCATTCTCTCTCTCTCTCTCTCTCTCTCTCATATCTGAATACGTGTACTTGTAAGAATATAATCTAATATTACTGGGAAATATGTAATCAGTACCGCAATAAAACATCCAAATACTACTGGATTCCTCGAAAACTAATGACGTGATGGGGTCCACTCCCACAGCCAGACACTGCCAGAGACGCTAAGAATCTCTCCAGTCTGCCACGCTGTACAACACTTTTGAATTATTTTGGGTATGTGAACATACCTTGTCGAGAAGAAACTCCTGACTTGTCTTGTCGGGGTCTCCATTCCAGTCACTGGCCGGACAAAATATATCAATCACAGGGCTTCTTATACATCTAGACTGTTTTAGACTGAAAGCCTAGCAGCGATCTTTAAGGCCTATCAATGAGACACTTGTGCAACATTTGGGAATCTTTATTGTCTAAACGTTTCCCCAGCCAGTGGCTTCTTCAGTCACGGTGCCCCGTGGCCTGGTGGATAAAGCTCTCGCTTCACACGTCGAGGGTCCGGGTTCGATTCCCGGCGAGGATAGAAACATTGGGCGTGTTTCTTTACACTGGCTATCGTTGTTTACCCATCAATAAAATAGGTACCTGGGAGATAGTCGACTGGTGTGGGACGACAAACTGACCTAATTTGCCCGAAATGCTCTGCGTAACAAGGGACTTTCTATATAGTAGTATGTAAATGATGTCAGCTAGGACTGTATACATTGTACATGTACTTGCAGAAATAAAGATATTATTGTATTATTATTATTAATACAGAGAAGAACGTTGGAAGACAAGGAAGAGTTAGCGGTAATCAGCCCCTCACCCCTCAACCTGGAGCTGATGTACTCAGTCCATCAATTTTCAGAGAAGAACAGCATAAGCGCGAGTTTTGTATATCATATATCCCTTTGTGGTTCTTTATTCCTTTCATAACTAAACAGATGTAACTTATCACTATTGAAGGTCATGCTGTTCTCCCCTGCCCACTGGAAAACCCTGCTTATATCTCCCCCCTGTCTTCTGCCGATGTTACTTTTATATTTATTTTTGTATCGTTCGTAAATGATACAGAATTGTGGCGAGTGTTTTTCTCTATGCCAGCTATGAGGGTAAGAAACAGTAGAGGTGCCAGGACTGTGCCTTTAAGCACTAATTACCTCGTTAATGCTGGACTCTGCTCTGTTTACTACTGCCCTTTTTGTTCTATTTCTCAGAAAGTTGAAAACTCATGTGCCTACTTTCCCTGTTAAACTGACAACCCCAATTATGTGTATAATCACCCCCACGATCACCGCCAGAACCTGAGTTTAGTTAGTTATATGTTATTATCCCATCCATCTGTGAGGCGGTAGTAAAAGATTACAGAGGTTCTGGAGGTTTCTTAACTGTATTCCTGGAGCAGGAGGGGGTAATGATTATTACACTGGAAACATAGTCCAGGGACTAGTCGAACTTGCACACGAAAATCACCATACGAAAGCTAAAGACTTGGCAGACGATGCCCATTCCTCAATTATAAGCAAGGGGTTGTCACTAGCACGTTAGAGCCATACATAATGTCAGGGGCGAGCTGTTAAACTGCAATCCCAGAACATAAGGGGATTACCAACAGCCCCTGGCAGTCTTCAGCTGGCATGGACAAGCACCTAAGTCGTTCAGGTCGCGGGTGTGGTGATATGTTTTTGGTGCAGCCAAGCAATCCCTGGTTGGATCGGCTGATCCACAGGAGCATGGTCTCAGACCGGGCCGGGGGGGTTGACCGGAACTCTTCCAGGTAAACTCCAGGTACATAATTCGTCCAGGCCAGAACCTGAGACTCGGCCCCTGTAACCACAAGTAGATGAGTACATATAATAATAATAATAATAATAATAATAATAATAATAATAATAATAATAATAATAATAATAATAATAATATCTTTCTTTCTACAAGTACATGTATACAGACGTAGCTGATATCAATGACATACTACTATATAGAAAACCGCTTGTTTTGTAGAGCATTTCGGGCAAATTAGGTCATTTTGTCCCAGATACCCATTTTACTGATGGGTGGACAAAGACAACCGGTGTAAGGGAATACGCCCAATGTTTCTACCCTTGCCGAGAATCGAACCCGAACTCTCAGCGTGTGAAGCGAGAGCTTTTGCCACCAGGCCACGGGCCACCATACATCTATGCATGCGCATTAAAGTTTACTTGAAAAGCAGACTAAAAAGATTGATGTAAAAATAAAGACGGTGACTGTGCCTCGCTGTATGTGGTCAACTTAGGCGTGACGCAACTGCTGACGCAACTGTAAGCGTCACGGATCGGCAAGTTACAGCACCCAAGCCAGGAATCTGCATGGTTAAGCCAAAACTCTGGTAAAAATAGCAGAGTTTGTCCTTAACCTTTGACGTCCCTTCAAGGACGATTATATTTTGCCACCAAAGTGGCTAGTTTATTGTGCACCCATATCCATCCTGTGGACGGTAGCGCAAGAGCATATGGATACACAAAAAGGCCTAGGAACTAGGCCCCAAAAGGGTTAACAGGTGTACATATGGGTTTTTATTTATCTACATATCTACAGTTCATTTATCTGTTACAAGCAAATTTAGGAAATTTGCTTAGTATATCTGGTATCTTATTTTCATTAATAATATATCTTGACATGTCACATAGGTTATTTTACTGTATCTCTATATTCCTCAATAAGTGGGGAATTAAGCACAGTATTCAAGACAGTGACCATATACCTGATCATATAATTTACATTTAGTTTGATCATCATCTGTGTGTCTCCCAAACTACCAGAAGTACTTGTAACCAAGCCTAAGCCTGGCCACTACAACATCAGTCAGTCTGTTCACATTGCAAGTTGCTCCATAAACATACTTATCTACGTTCATGTTATCTTAGTGTGTTATAGATCTACTCAGGCTTCTAACTGCATTCCTGTAATTATAATTTTCTTTATTTACTTCTCTCCTTATATTATTCCTAATGCTAGACACAAATATACCAAAGTTATATTCTACATTCTCCTTCTGGGTACTCTTCTTGGCTAACATATCAACTTTATCATGAAGGAGTAATCCAGTGTGTGATGGGATCCATAACAATTGTACATTAATTCCTTTGTCCCGGATTTTTGAGTATCTATACCTGGCTTCTCCAATGAGCATGTTGTTGTAGTCATTATATGAGTCAAGAGCCTTCAATGATGACATAGAATCAGTAATGATGATAGAGTCAAGCTCAGTGTCATAAGTTAGCTTTAGCGCCATTAGGATTGCAAACAATTCAGTTTGCAGTGTAGACGCCCAGTTGTTAATTCTTATGCCTAGTTCAACAAATTTATTATCGTTCTTAACTAGGGAGGTGGCAACAAGAGCAGATACAGCCCTGCCAGAAGACTCCTGTTTAGATCCATCAGTGTATATAACTTGTGATAACTTATTACTACCAGCTAGGTGAGAAATTTCTGCTTGAGCAGTTGCTTTAACAAGTGATTTACAAGGACAGAAGATGGCAAGAAATAAGAAAGAAAAGGACAAGGGGATCTTCATCCAAGGAACTGAAGCTCTCCTCAGCTTCCTTACTCATGTGATTAAAACTTACACTCTTTCTATTGGCGATTTTTTCTGTTGCTTCCCATGTGATGTAGCAAATAAATTATTATTATTATTATTATTAAATTTTATTATTTTAATTATTATTATTATTATTATTATTATTATTATTATTATTATTATTATTATTATTATTCAAACAAGTGCTTAAAAGTTGCAAGTAATGAATGGCTCTCCTTTTGTTAAAGTTGCAGTTAATATTACCACTACAGTACTAGCGGCGTTTGCTGCTTATGTTAACAAATTTGCTATTAATTATTGTGTTATCAGCAGTAATAGAGCTAGTAGTAATAGCAGTACTACTACTACTCTTACTATTAGTAGCAATAATAATGATCATAATAATAATAATAATAATAATAATAATAATAATAATAATAATAATAATAATAATAATAATAATAAATAATAATAATATATCAGTTACTCTCGGTTAGTTATATACAAGTTAGTTATGGTTGTCTTGCCTTACGTCTTACACTTTCCTTCATTGTTCACCTAATATTCATCCTGTGGATGATAGTGCCTAGTTTATTGTTCAACCCGCCATATCCATCGCATAAACGTAGCACAAGAACATATGGACACACAAAAGGCCCAGGAGCTAGGTCCCAAAGAGTGGTACAACTGGATATACATCTATAATTTCTCTTCTAGGTTGCAAACAAATTTGGGATATTTGCTTAATATGTCTGGTGTCTTATTTTCATTTATATGATACCTGGACACGAGCTTTAGGGTCACAGCTACAGACGACTTGGGTTCAATTACCGGGTGAGACGAGACGAATGATACTGTCTCCTTAAATCTGGTGAGCTTGTTCACCCTGCAGTGAAGGTCTGTATATGGGAGTTAGTAGACTGTTGTTGGTGGCATCCTGGGGAGGACCTGACCACCATAGAGGAAATAAGCCACACTATTTTTTTTGGTTGTCCTGGGTTATTAACCCTCAGGGATTAATTATTCGGAAAAAGTTTTAGTTTTAAAGGCATTCTTCGTTTTTATTGATCTGATTAACTGATCTGTATTGCTCTCTCTCTCTATCAATATATATATATATATATATATATATATATATATATATATATATATTTATATATATATATATATATATATATATATATATATATATATATATATATATATATATTTATATATGTATATCATGTGTGTATGCGTGTGTGTGTATGTGTGTGTGTATGTGTGTGTGTGTGTGTGTGTGTGTGTGTGTGTGTGTGTGTGTGTGTGTGTGTGTGTGTGTGTGTGTGTGTGTGTGTGTATGTGTACTCACCTAGTTGTACTCACCTAGTTGAGGTTGCGGGGGTCGAGTCCGAGCTCCTGGCCCCGCCTCTTCACTGATCGCTACTAGGTCACTCTCCCTGAACCGTGAGCTTTATCATACCTCTGCTTAAAGCTATGTATGGATCCTGCCTCCACTACATCGCTTCCCAAACTATTCCACTTACTGACTACTCTGTGGCTGAAGAAATACTTCCTAACATCCCTGTAATTCATCTGTGTCTTCAACTTCCAACTGTGTCCCTTGTTACTGTGTCCAATCTCTGGAACATCATGTCTTTGTCCACCTTGTCAATTCCCTCTCAGTATTTTGTATGTCGTTATCATGTCCCCCCCGATCTCTCCTGTCCTCCAGTGTCGTCAGGTTGATTTCCCTTAACCTCTCCTCGTAGGACATACCTCTTAGCTCTGGGACTAGTCTTGTTGCAACCTTTACACTTTCTCTAGTTTCTTTACGTGCTTGGCTAGGTGTGGGTTCCAAACTGGTGCCGCATACTCCAATATGGGCCTAACGTACACAGTGTACAGGGTCCTGAACGATTCCTTATTAAGATGTCGGAATGCTGTTGTGAGGTTTGCTAGGCGCCCATATGCTGCAGCAGTTATTTGATTGATGTGCGCTTCAGATGTGCCTGGTGTTATACTCACCCCAAGATCTTTTTCCTTGAGTGAGGTTTGTAGTCTCTGGCCCCCTAGACTGTACTCCGTCTGCGGTCTTCTTTGCCCTTCCCCAATCTTCATGTGTGTGTGTGTGTGTGTGTGTGTGTGTGTGTGTGTGTGTGTGTGTGTGTGTGTGTGTGTGTGTGTGTGTGTGTGTGTGTGCGTGTGTGTGTGTGTGTGTGTGTGTGTGTGTGTGTGTGTGTGTGTGTGTGTGTGTGTGTGTGTGTGTGTGTGTGTGTGTGTGTGTGTGTCGTGCCGAATAGCTAAAAGTGGCGATTTTGCCTTAAATAGCAATGTTCTTCTTGCCGAATAAGGCAAGCGAAAATTTGTGTATGCTATAATTTTGCAAAAATCATTCTGAACCTAATGAACAAAAAATATATTTCATTGTGTTTGTTTATTATTATAAGATAAGATTTCGTTCGGATTTTTAACCCCGGAGGGTTAGCCACCCATGATAACCCAAGAAAGTCAGTGCGTCATCGAGGACTGTCTAACTTATTTCCATTGGGGTCCTTAATCTTGTCCCCCAGGATGCGACCCACACCAGTCGACTAACACCCAGGTACCTATTTGCTGCTAGGTAAACAGGACAACAGGTGTAAGGAAACGTGTCGTAATTTCCACCCGCCGGGAATCGAACCGTGTGTGAAGCGGGAGTTTTAGCCACCAGACCACCGGGCCGTCACATTATTGTAAACTTATCTAAAATATATTTAGTTGAATTAAGCTAAATTAAATTGCGCTTCTTATAATAAGGTTAGTTTTCTAAGGTTCTTTTGGTACAAAACTATTAATTTTTACATTAACATAAATGAAAAAAAATATATATGTTGAACGTATAAGACAAAAGTTTAGAAAGGACTTAATTTTAAATGAGTTCTTGCTAAGTGACCAACTTTACCTATTCGGCACGACATATATATTTCAGCAGATCAATTAATTTTCTGAATTTATCTCCATATGGGTTATTAGGTAAGATTTGTCAGGAAACAGGACAAGCGTTTCCTGACGCGGGTCTTATATGATGACTCACAGCTGGAGCTTTTGACCATCTGACCGAGGCCTTCCACTGGCTTACCGGTCCACTTCCTTAAAAATTAAAGTTGTAATTATAAACATTGTGTTCCTAAATTATTACCGAGTATATATATATATAGCTATTAAAACTTGAAGGCATGTAAGAGTGATATTTATTTTCTAAATAATTATAAATATTAAAAGGTAATAATATTAACAGTCATATAAAATATGGAAGATTACCTTTATCTGAATTACTTTTTTTATCTGATTTACGGTTCCCTCAATATCACATTGCTATTTACTTATTCGCTTCACAAAGATTTATATAATATATTTACAACATTTATCTGACTAAGATCTTTGGGATAAACAACTTTTGGAAACTGCGGAAGAGAAAAACTTTATAATTATATATACATAAAAAAGTACCAAATGGCGTCGAGTACTCTCAATAAGGCTCCTAGGAATTTTACCATCAAATATTTCGATGACAGGGTTTAATATATCCAATATCCACACTGTATGAAGTTGCCAGTCCTCCGGGGATTCGGTGGGTGAGTATTATCCTTCAGAACGTATGTAAATTAGAGAAATTATCCAAAAACAGAGGCAGGGTCGAGGAGCAACATGGCCGCCACTCGTCATACCAAAGCACTAGTTGACTTCATTCTTAATCATTCTGGCCATATAGCCTTCTCCGGGAAATTTCTCATTGCTTCGTGTCTTATCACAATGCAATGTCTAAATGGTTAGCATTTAGGTGGGTAGATATAATACCAAAGGCTATGCCGAAAGGAAATTTACCAGGCGAATTTTTAGTAGATTAACCCCTTTCTTGGTAGCATATTAAGCCTTGATTTTTTTATGGAAAGAGTCGCCCATATTCATGAAAGAAGAAAGGTTATAGACGAAGACAAACGGCCTCAGGGACTAATTTTGTGTATGAAGTAAGTTAACGATTAGATAAGGATATGAGATAAGGGGGAACTCTGCCTCATAAGTGCTGAGATAAGAGTCTAGTGCAATGCCAGGAGAGGACAGTATGTTGATCACGGCTCACCCATCAACATATAAAGAACTACCACCTAATATATATATATATATATATATATATATATATATATATATATATATATATATATATATATATATATATATATATATATATATATATTTATATTTGTATTTTTGTGAATGTTTGGCCAATGTATTTTGTCTTTAAATAAAACATACTTGAAATATAGGGGTGGTAGGAGAAAATTCTCAAAACAGCTTCAGGAAACCTTGAGTTTTCCCTGAAGCAAGTTTATTCTTTACCTGAGGATGAGGGTCCCTATGACAGTTCGAGGTGGTACCTCCCTATATATATATATATATATATATATATATATATATATATATATATATATATATATATATATATATAAATATATATATATATATATATATATTATATATATATATATATATATATATATATAATCACGAGGGCCCATTGCCTCGAAATAAAATGCACAAAATTAGATGTTTTAATATTAGTCTTGAACTACTATCACATTTTTTAATTATAATTTGTTGATTATTACGGTCTTGTGGGGCTTTTAATTAAAGGGCCTCAGTGGCTGAACTGGAGCAGAAAATCCAGTAAGCATTCTACCACTGGATCACCACACTAAAACACTGCAAGTGGAAGGTGGTCGCTCTTGGGTCTCCAGTAGTTTAAATGTACTCAGAGCCTAGTTATTTTAAAAAAACGTGTGGTATTCTTTATTCAGGAACAAGGCCTCTGATCTTATTGGGCAAAGCAGTACTAGTGGGTTAGGCACCTACTGGCGCCGGGTCACCATCTGGAGAAGACCCGGGCCGGAAGTACCGGCAAATCTCTAATGAATGAAGCACCTACTGTCGCTGACCCAGTGCCGTTCCCTATGGTAAGAAGCACCACCCTAGTGACAAATGCAGAATAGAATAGTTGTTGGTTAGAGTAGATGTATAGTCCCACACCAGCTGTTTACCGGTCTTCCAGGGATATATCGCCATCCCATTGCAGTGGCTAGCACGCATAATCCAGTTGATGAAGAATTAAGATTGTGGTTCCCTTTCGGCTGGGAACTGGACTGTGACTGTATTGTGTCTACCTTGCCATTCTTTGGAACTTGATGAGTTCATGCCCTGCAGACCATACTGATCAGTTATCACTCTCAGTGTGGATTGAAGCAGCAAAGTGGAGAGTCATTGCTAGTCAAAACATGTGCAAGTCGCTCTCTTCTTTGAGGGGTGTGTTCTGTTATCGTTTCAGAAGTCTTCATGATTAAGCTGTCTCGACTGGATTGTTTGTGGGCTATAATTTTTTAACTGATCTAGTTGTCAGGACTGACAGGGTATCCCACTGACCAATGCTTCTAGTGTAGATGGAGGTCGTTCTTTACTGTTGAATGACCTAAATAGTCTGGCAAAATTTGCTTAAACAATTCATTAAATCCACTGATAAAAGATAAGAAGGCTGTCAAGATACTCTGCGTTTATTACCGCTAACATTATGGTAAAGAGTTAAACCTGTAGGGATTATGCAGTACCTTGGGAATGGAAGATAATCATATTCAATCCAAGGAAGGGAAGGATAGGTCCAATTTTGTGGATCAAGAGCACCTCACCAGAAACAGAGCACCTCTCACAGATGTGAGTGTCAGCCTCAAGAAGACAGTGGAGGGACCAAGTAATTCGTGAAGCAAAAAAAAATACAAATATATAACTTTTCCTAATTTAGCCCACTCCACACAAATAACCCGCACATAGGGGACAGCAGCTTATACCCGGAGTATACCTGGAGAGAGTTTCAGGGGTCAACGCCCCCGCGGCTCCGTCTGAGACCAGGACTAGTGGTGGATCAGGGTCTGATCAACCAGGCTGTTACTGCTGGCCGCACGCAAACTGACGTACGAACCACAGCCCGGCTGGTCAGGTACTGACTTTAGCTGCCTGTCCAGTGCCTTCTTGAAGACAGCCAGGGGTTTATTGGTAATCCCCCTTATGTATGCTGGGAGGCAGTTGAACAGTCTTGGGCCCCTGACACTTACTGTGTTGTCTCTCAGTGTACTCGTGGCGCCCCTGCTTTTCACTGGGGGAATGTTACATCTCCTGCGGAGTCTTTTGCTTTCATACGGAGTGATTTTCGTGTGCAAGTTTCGTACTAATCCCTCTAGGATTTTCCAAGTGTATATTATCATGTATCTCTCACAGCCACCTGTAAATGATCCAAGTCGGACCGAAACGTCGTCATAAGTTTCTCTTCTATGTGTAGGTTATTTGTGTATTGTTCCAGCCATGGTATTGTGCCTTTTTTGTTCTTTTTTGTTCTAGTGGCCTCAAAAACACATGGCGAGGACCGGACTTGCACCTCACTGATGTGGATGTTGTTCTTCATATTTTCAACACTGGTGAACTATAAGAAAGGAAAGGTTCGTGGAACTATTAGGGGCGGTAGTCAAAGATTACAGAGGCACATAATGGGTCCAGGGGTTGATCCCCAAAGTTTTGATAGCTACATTAGCGAGGTAGCTATCAAAACTCTGGGTGACTTAATTCATGTTTGCATAAATAAATCATTACGATTGTAACCAGACATAAACATGTAAACAGTTCGCGGTAAATTATATAAAATACTGACACGATGGAAACGTAAACACGAATGGAGTATAATACGATCAAATCCGTTTTATCGTCACAAATACGTTGGTGACGATAAAGCATACTATGTGGGCGAAACGTAGTCAAAAAAGGATCGCGTTATACTATATTTGTGTCTACTTGCTCGTGTAAAGAATTCATTGATAAATTAGGCACATGTTCAATACTTGGGTATCTTTATTGAGGAAACGTTTCGCCACACAGTGGCTTCATCAGTCCATACAAAGGAGAATTGCTGAGAAGTAGCTTATATACCGTAGGTAAGAGAGGTGCAGCAGTCGTAGGTGGTATCACATTTGTCCATTGTGGAAGTAGGTCGTGCCCAAGGGTTAGGCAAGTGAAGAATTCCCTGTAGTATTAAGATCCCAGTAACATCTTGGGATCTTAATACAGGGAATTACAACTGCTGCACCTCTCCTGCCTACGGTATACAAGCTACTTCTCAGCATATATACTGTATACTTTTCAAAACTGATGGACTGACCACATCGTCTCAAGGCTGAGAGACTGATTACCTCAAACTCCTCCTGTTCTTCACTATTCTCTTTTGTATGGACTGATGAAGCCACTGTGTGGCGAAACATTTCCTCAATAAAGATACCCAAGTGTTGCACATGTGTCTAATTTATCAACTTGTCGGCTCTCTGAACCACTCATCTACAAAGAATTCATTACCACTGTAACTTGTTTAGTTATCAGAACTTTGCAGCCCAGTCCCTGGATATATTATGTGCCTCAGTAATTTTTTGACTACCACACACAGGATGGGTATGGGGTGCATAATAAGGATATTAAACTAAGCAACCGTGGGCGGTAGTCAAAAGACTACAAAGGCACAAAATTGGTCCAGGGGCTGGGCCGTGATTTTTTATGTCCTTTTGATTTCTATAATGGTACGGTATTTTTCCGTGAAATAAATTGAGTATAATATGCCTCTAGTGATTGGCTTCAGTCTTTAATAGCTAATACATATTATGAAAAGGATGACACCTTTTGAGTTTATAATGAGTAAGTGCAAATTTGCCAATTTATTAATACAGAGAATAAACTTGGAATTCTTGGATTCCGTGTAAACTGAATGATGAGAATATCCCTTTGTGTTACAGAGTGTATCAGGTAGTTGTTGAGTTGCAGGTATCTCACTCCATCATGTAGTTTCTGAGTTCTAGGTATTTCAGTCAAATCAGGTAGATTCTGAGTTCCAGGTATTTCAGTCCATCAGGTAGTTTTCGAATTCCAGGTATATCAGTCCATTAGGTAGTTACTGAGTTGCAGGCTCCTTAGTCCATCAGCTCCCAAGAAAAAAACATTCTCTGCATTATCTACGAAAGTTTGGATTACTCCTTCATGATAAAGTTGATATTTTAGTAAAGAAGAGTATCCATAAGGAGAATGTAGAATATAACTTTGGTATATCTGTGTCTAGCATTAGGAATAATATTAGGAGAGAAGTAAATAATGAAAATTATAATTATAGGAATGCAGTTAGGAGCCTGAGTAGATCTATAACCCACTATGATAACATGAACGTAGATAAGTATGTTTATGGAGCAACTTGCAATGTGAACAGACTGACTGATGTTGTAGTGGCCAGGCTTAGGCTTGGTTACAAGCACTTCTGGCAGTTTGGGAGACACACAGATGATCAAACTAAATGCAAATTATGTGATCAGGCATATGGTCACTCTTGAACACTGTGTTTAATTGTCCACTTATTGAGGAATATAGAGATACAGTATAATAACCTATGTGACATGTCAAAATATCTTATTAATGAAAATAAGATAACAGATATACTAAGCAAATTACCTAAATTTGCTTGTAACAGATAAGTGAACTGTAGATATGTAGATATAAATCCATATGTACACCTGTTAACCCCTTTTGGGGGCCTAGTTCCTAGACCTTTTGTGTATCCATATGCTCTTGTGCTACCGTCCACAGGATGGATATGGGGTG